AGTCCACGAAAGCTTATGCTCTAATAAATTTGTTAGTCTCTAAGGTGCCACAAGTCCTCCTGTTCTTCTTTTTGCGGATACAGACTAACCCGGCTGCTACTCTGAAACCTTTCATTATTTAGACCTAGTTTATCCATTTTCTAAAAATCAGACTTGAAAGAAAATACCAGGTACCTACATTTTTGAATGTATATATTTTCAGACTTAATTAGTTGAATATGCCTCTGATTTTCATAATCTTACATTGATGTCAAGAAAAATAATATTTGAAATCAAATAAAGAAGAACAAATGTCTATTTAGATGAATTTCCTGGGTTTCTCCCCATATTTTGAGCTGGTAACATGAGTCAATACTGGAACAACTCATTGAAATAGGCTGCAGGAAATTATACCTCATTCTCCCCTTGTCTCTGAATATTATTGCTTCCATTGAAGTAGTTGAGACCACAATATTTGGAACAGTTGCAGCTGCTTGGTGCTAATTTCTGAGTACATAGGAAGTCTTTGATTTCTATGGCACTTTTTTAATGTTAAAAAGGGTAATTATTTTCCATCTCATTTTAACTTCCTTCATTCATATATAAAGGCAAACTTCTAGTAAACTATTTTCCCTGCAGTATTTTCATATGTAAAAACAAAATGTTAGCTATTCGTACTTTCCTGTGTGTTAGGTCTGCTAGACTAAAAGCAATTGAAATGAGAAAATACACAGGCAGAAACAATAGACACTTGATAATGATTTTGCTGAAGTATGTTAATAGTTAACTTTACAGCCTTGATAATCTGAATCTCTTCCAGGTGACCGAGTGCAATGGCGTTTAGCTTCCTGCGTTTGTCAATGTGAAAATACGCATTTGCTTCCTCATCATTGTCATGCTGCAGCCACGCAATTAAGTGGTTTTGCTCCTGAGCCAATCAAACAGCAACCATCTCTTGCCAAAAGTATATCAAAAAGCTCATAACTGGCTCTCCTTCAATCAGTTAATCTCTGCTTTTTATTTTTTGTTAAAAGATATTGGGTGTCTCATTTACAGTTCTGTTCCTGTGGGCTGATATTTTTGAATGCATATAGTGTAGGGTGTTTTTTTTAATGATTTTAGTAATCTGACTACAGGAAGAGAATCTGTCTGAAAAGCTAGTGCTGAATATAACAAAGGTCACAGTATGTGCTGAGATTATACAAAGTGGATTTTGGAGTGGGAGTGCCAGTGTGGAGAGGAGCATTAACTGGTGTCAACCTGGAATCTGTTTTATACTGACAACATGTAATCCCCTGAAAATAGGGGTTTATAATGGGAAAGATAGATTATCATATAGAGAACATTGTGTACGTTCAAGCACGTTTCAGAAGAGCGATTGAGCTGTGTCTTTGGAGGAACGAGCACTTGCTATACAGCCCATTGTTCCAGTAGCAGCTCTGAGGCAGTTTGGTCTAATGGACTGAACACAAGTTTCGGAGAAAGGAACTCCTGGGTTCTAATTCTTAACTATCACTGATTCGCCATGTGGCCTTGGGCAAGTTTCTTAGCCCCTTTTCCTATCTGTAAAACAAATAATAATACCTACTTACCACAGTGGGGTGTTGCAAGCATAGGTTAATGTTTGTAGAGCACTTTGGGGATGGAAAGCATTACATCTTTAACTGGAGTATTGTGTCCAGTTCTGGGTGCCACATTTCAGGAAAGATGTGGACAAATTGGAGAAAGTCCAGAGAAGAGAAACAAAAATGATTAAAGGTATAGAAAACATGACCTATGAGGGAAGATTGAAAAAATTGGGTTTGTTTAATCTGGAAAAGAGAAGACTCAGAGGGGGCATGATAACAGTTTTCAAGAACATAAAAGGTTGTTACAAGGAAGAGGGAGAAGAATTGTTGTTGTTAACCTCTGAGGTTAGGACAAGAAGCAATGGGCTTAAGTTGCAGCAAAGGAGGTTTAGGTTGGACATTAGGAAAAACTTCCTAACTGTCAGGGTGATTAAGCACCGGAATAAATTGCCCAGGGAGGTTGTGGAATCTCCATAATTGGAGCTTTTTAAGAGCAGGTTAGACAAACACCTGTCAGGAATGGTCTAGATAATACTTAGTCCTGCCATGAGTGCAGGGCACTGGACTAGATGACCTCTCAAGGTCCCTTCCAGTCCTATGATTCTATGATGAGTGCTTAGAACTGGTTCAAAGGTCTAGTCCTACAGAGCTTGACTCATCAGAGGGAGGGTTTAGGAAAACAACGTTTTACTTTGTCTGAAAAATTGTGGTCATGATGATTTGAATAACACATGTCCCTGTCTTTATTTTTTTGCCCTCGCAAAATAAATCTGCTAGAGCAAAGCATCTTTGTCTAGTTATTTGCCTCCTGTGCCATTCATCCCTTTGAATTACTGAAGAATGCTACAAGATTCTCTTCTACCTAGCTAAAAATTCTGTATGCTGCAGTGTTACAAGATCACTTTCATTTGTTGAAGCCAGTAAAACATTTAGCTCAAATATTTAACACATTTTGTAGATTTAGAGAGCCAAAGGGGGAATATAGTATGTGGTCCCTGTGTGTCTAGCAACATATTCCCCACCTCCAGAAACGCAGATATTGAGATCAGATATTCCACAAATTTTGAATTCATGAAAGATTTTTCCATTCCTTCCTCCCCCACCTCCCTTTGCTCCCTACTTTCTGGACATTTGATTGCTTTCTGAAGGAATACTTACTACAATAACATGTCCTAGCTTCTCTGTGGGGCTAAAGAGAATTCTAATTTTAAAAAAGGAAAATGTAAAAATGTACTCTTCTGTAAAAGTAATCTGTAGTGATCACTATTTAACACAATAAGGGGGAACTGAGCAATTTTTAGTCCCTGTCCAGTTTCTGTTCAATAGCTCAAACTATATCTTGCCAGCTAATAGCTCAATTGTATAGATTACTCAATTATTCCAAGAGATTTCAATCTGCTTGAAAATTTTGTGTACCAGTTTCTTTGGCATTTTTGAAGTAATTTAAGATTACAGTTATTGGCTAATAATGTTTGCATTGCTGGTAGGCAAGTGGGCTTTTTTAGATGAACCATTGTCATAACATATCTTTTTCATTTCCCAATCCATCTTCCCTTCCTTCTCCAATTCTAGGCCTCTCAATGGACCACCCTCAGCTCTCTTCCTTCACATTGAAGAGTCCACAGAGCTTGAACCCCACATTTCAGATGAATTTGAACCCAGCTGTCCAGGGTTCATCTCCTCTTCTGAGTCCTGTCCTGAGCGATGCTGGCAGTGCCCGGGTAGAAGAGGAAGAGGAAGTAAAACACAAGGTAAGGCAATGGCATTACAGAGAACCTAAGCAATGAGTGAGGAGCATGGTATTGACTTAGCATGGATTCTGATGCAGTTCTCTGTATATTCTTTGTTCCTATTAACGATATTTTGTGCTAATACGAACTTAGTGTTTGCAAGCTCCTACAATGAAAATTCAGTGGGAGTATGTTGACCCTGGGGTCCCGGAGTCTCTTGCATTAGAACCTCATGCCAGGATAGTCCTCATTGCTGCTGTTGGAGTCGAGTATGCATGTTGCGTAAGTGTGTGTGTGTGTTGTTAAGCACAGCATAATCCTTGTCTATGCACAGTGTTGTATTTAACACTGCCAACTGATTGGACAGTCCTTGTCTACACTAAGTGCTTAATGTCATGTTAGTTAAAAATTTGTTCTAACCTGATTTAATTTCCCAAGGTGGACAGGGCCACCGAGCTAAAATCTGTTAACGTACGGGGCATGTGGCAAAAACTACTTAGGCTTTATTAGAAGCTGAGGTTAGAGTGAGGAGCTTTCAGTTATTTTTGAAGGTTGGAGCGTGGACAGTTTTTGACACTGTATCAGCTAATAATTACTTTGGTTTTTTTAAATATTGAGCTGAACTCAGTTTTATGGCAGGCACATCATATATAAAAGGAAATAATAAAACAATTGTGACGTGTGTGTGTGTGTGTGTGTATATATATATATATATATATATATATATATATATATATATATATAATAATAATATA